CCAGGCTTTGGTTTTGGTTTCTGGGGACGTAAGCAGGGTACTAAGAAGCGCACGTTGTGTCATCTGGGAGCATGCAACCAAAGCCTGTGAAGAAACACACACCAAAAAAAGAAGCCCTTATAAAATAGCAGCCTAAAAATGCAGTCTGATGCCATTATTTCCAACTCGGCATTTGAAGTCAGCAACTGTGAATATTGACAGTGGCGGAATCCATAGCGTGATCAATTTATAACTGCTCCGCAGCAAGACGGCCCTCACTAGTTCCACCTCCTAAGCAGCACAGGGTAAAATGTTGCAAAGCAATACAATCTCAATAAACAACCTAGGGATACACACAGCTTTGTACTTTCACTCTGCCATATCTCTGTATTCACTGACACAGAACATGAGCTCACATGCACACAGATGTTATCAACACACAGTATTTTAATGATGATCCTTGTAAGGAAAGCTTCTACATCTGGGGAAAAGGTTTTGAAAATCCTTTTTAAAGTATATTTCTTTCCGTGAAATCAAATTTGAGAAACTCCCACTAAATGGGGTTATGTGTTGCCATTCACACAGCATTCCTAAAATACCTTAAAGGGTATATATGGTGGAAATCTAAAAATAAATCTGTATTTCTATATCAAATTTCCATAAGTTCTATCCCACTACTAATAACCATAATCGATGTACAAGTTTGTAAACTTGCTTATTATAGGTGCCAATAGAATGAATTTCCTCAATGCACTGACACCATTGCACTCTGTGAATATTCACTTCATTGGGTCACCTGACATCTGAACATCCCACAATGTAACATTATGATTGCTTGTTGGAAGCCCCCTCCCTAACATCACATACAAGGGAAGAGATAAGCAAGATTTTTCAGCAAGTAAAAAAAAGATAAGCAACAATTTTTTAAAACATTTTTACAATTATGCCGAGTTGGAACACTTAACAAATATAAAGTAGGTTTTAGTCTAATTCGGCTGCAAGAGTGGAAATACACTTAAATGCTCATTTGTTGTGAGACACGTACAGAAGCCGGTCTCCTGAAAATATCAGTTGCCTAGCTGTCTTTAAATCCCCTGAGTCACAATGTATTGAAGTCAAAGCAGGGATGGGCAAATGAATATGGACATCAGGATCCAGTCTGTCCAATCCAGGAGCAAGTTCCTTTGACAACTGGAAAAAAACTCAAAAAACTTAGGTGCCAGCTGTAATTTTTAAGGAACATTGGCTACCAAGCTCCTGGGATGTACCCAGCACTCAGCAAAGTATCAACCTGAAAGACAGGAAACTAGAATTCTCAGAAGGACAGGGCAGCAATGGGAGCCTCCATTAATCTCTCATGAAAGGTTGCCTTTAAAAGGACACCTATGATGGGAAAAATGTGGTGGCAATTGTCTGACTGGCTGGCTGGCTGACCCTCTTGATCCATATTGCTCTTATGATTGGTCCACTTTAAAAGTAAGCTACAAATGTTGATGTACCCTTCTTTACCAGCTGTCGACCATTAGGAATGAATAGAAAAACTACTAGGGAGGCTGTCTGGTGCTCACTGGCCCCACAACAAAGATCTCCAAAGACAGTGGACAGGCATGTTGAGAAGATGCTGATGAGGAGAGGGGGGCTGTACCCTAAAGCCAGCCATACCTAAGCAGAATTTCGTTTGAGAAGTTTTAGTTTTGGAATGTTTGTTCAATTTTCTAATGGTTAGTCTTCACTAACCATTGTTAGTGAAGTCTAACCAATCACTGTTCGTAGTGGTGAGGAAACTTGAAGGAGCAGTGTTTCACCTGATAATCCGGCCAATAACACACTTACTGTCTTACGGTGGCTCCTGTCTATGGAGGAGCAATGGAGTGTTACATACACAAACAGATTAAGATGGACTTTACATAAGTGTCAATTCACCTTTAAAGTAGAACTACATTTCCCTTACAGCCAATGAAGGTGCCATCTTGCCCTCTATTTGGATTGCAGTGGCCATGGTGCTGCACATGTGAGCTATGACACCAGATATTTGAGGGCTTAAAAGTTCAGTTGAGAGCTGAAATAAGCATACTTGCAACAGTTGGCATGGCTTGAAAGTAACTGTTTTGAGAGATATTAAATTAGTGGGTACAATTCCTCTTTAATTAAAAAAAAACCCATATACATTGCTGATAGATTGTAAGTTAAAATACCATTTGTTTAAAAAAAATATTTTAACTTACTGCTGCTACCATGGGCTCCCCCTCTCCATTCCAAGGACATGGCTCGAGAAGCCGACCATTGCATGCGAGGCCCCAAGACCTCATGAGCAAGCACTCAGCTCCAAAACTTGGCTTGCCTAACTGCGCATGTGCAGTCTGCTGAACTTAGCCATTCTCCATTACAAGTATACGGCAGAAAGGGCCAACCGTTGGAAGTGTGGTCCAACCCCTCAGGAATGACCACTCGGCTACAAGAACCCGGCTTGCCTAACCGTGCATGCACAATCCTCAGAACTCAACTGCTCTCCATTCCAGTGGCAGGAGGAGCCGACTGTTGGATGTATAGCTCCAACCGCTCATGAACAAGCATTCGGGTACAAGAACTTAGCTTGCCCAGCAGCACATGCGCAGTTTGCTGAACTCAGTCACTCTCCATTCCAAGTACATTGTAGGATGGGCCGATCGTTGGATGTGTCGCCCTAACCTCTCATAAACAAGCCCTTGGCTTGCCTAACCGTGCATGCGCAATCCACTGAACTCAGTGACTCTCCATTCCGAGTACGTGGCAGAAGGAGACAACCGCTGGATGTATGGCCTCAACCCCTCATGAACGAGCACTCGGCAACAAAAACCCGACTTCCCTAACCGCACATGCGCAGTCCACTTAACTAAGCTACTGCTGCTGCGAGAGAGAGTGGACTGAGTGCTTGTTCATAGTGGGCTGGATCCGCACATTTAACGGTCAGTCTGCCCTGCCATCTAGGCATGATGTAGAGGGAGAGCCCACGGTAGCAGCAGGAAGGAAAAATAAGAATAATTTTTGAAAGCGAGGACAGCAGTTCAACTTAACATCTATCTATCTATAATGTATATGGATTTTTTTTTTTAAATGTCATTAAAGAGGAACTTGACCCACCAATCCTGCCAGGCAGTAGGGACAGAGGGGGGGGCAGTTATCAGCAGCAAGAAAAGTAAAAATGGAGGACAGAATTGTAATTTACAATCTAAGCTGCTAAGCTGTAATGTATAATGTCATTAAAGGTGAACTAACCCTTTACAGCTTTCAGCAGTTACAGCAACTTTTTTTCTCCCTTATAGTATAAAGTTTTACATAAATTGATAAAAGCTGACCATTGTACCCCTGTCAGTGTTAAAGAGAAACTGCCGGATTTTGAAACCCCCACACTGCAAGGGTTAACTGTTCATTTTTCCCTAGGGGCGAAAATAGAGAAGAAATACTCCCCCGACCCTCGGTCCTGCGGCAGTGACCACTTAAACCCAAGGCTGTGGTATGTCTTTCGTTGTCTTCATGGCCAATAGAGCAGTAATTAGACGTGATGACGTCACAGGTCCTTACAGCATCAGAGCCCAGGGGAAAAGAGGCTGTGCGGACCGGGTTAATATTTCTTTTTTTTTACTTTCGGCCCCTAGACAAAATGAGCATTTAACAATTGCAGCGTGGGGTTAGTCCCACTGCAAGGGTTCATTTTAACCCTGGAGTCTCACTTTAAAAATGTCCCATTCCACTTTTGCTGGACAGCTTGGTCTGTTAAAGGAAGTTAAACAATACCAGGCTTACTGGCCGGATCACCATGTGATAATAAAAGGAGAAAAAAAAGCAAACAAATGCAGCCACCACATCTAAGAATTGGTTAGCTGCAATATATTATATTTTTTGGGTTTAGCAAAATATACACTTGCAAACAATGATGTGCACATCACTGAGGTTCTATAAATACATGCCTTGTCACACTCCCTACCGGAAAACCCCCAAAACCGGTGGGGGGACGGGTGCTCGTAGTGACTGCGGATGGTGCCGCCAGACAATATTTGTAGGTAGATGTCACCAGCACACCAAATTCATTTAAAATCCAATGTGTTCATTTATTGAAGTGTCATGTCATCAGAACGCTGATTTTTCTGATCGCTGAAGATTTTCTAGGGAAAATCCCCAATGTGATTATGTCTATATGAGCATCAAGCGTCCCCCATACCATCTCTACAGATGACGGTTAAATACATCTGCAGTTCCCTCTGCGCTAAACGCTGCATGACCGCTGGATGTGACACAAGTCTGTCATGCGTGAACAGAATCCGTGCAGCCTAGTTTATACAATGCTAGGAGTTATATATAAACTGCAACACAAAGAGGCTGCAAACAATGACAACCAAACAAAGGAAAACAATGACATTAATAACAAAATAAAGAAACAAACTGCTAACCATAAGTAGGCAAATCAGCAATAAAAGTGAATAGAAAACGGAATGATTACTGCAGAAACTGGAAAAACGACACAGCGCTGATAATAAATAATAAAAGTTCCTGATATTCAGAAATGTATTGCATGTGATCAGGACCATGCAGGGATTATGCAGCAGATCATGCACAGCGCTCTTCAGATAAGAGCTCAAGTCTTCCAGAAGGGCCAGCCTGTGCTGGAATCTCAATGCTGCTGCCACATACCGTCGAGAGGTCATCAAAGGGGAACAAAAGGAAAGTCAGCAAGAATGAAGAAATGAAAGAAGCATTGCTGAGTGGAGGAGGGGATTACTGACAGTCAGGGCACACAGCATACCAACGCTGTGTCTAATCAGATTAGAGGAAGGGGCCTTGCAAGGTGATCGTGCACTCTCCCCTCTACATACAGCACCCATGGGAGATCGGCGAGCACACTGCTATCTGCTGCAGCCTGTCATTGCCCCCTATACACAAGATCACATCGACCCTGTGCTGAAATCCAGCCTGATCTTATATAAAGTACACGGCGACACCCCCTCTTGTGTGCTAAGGTCACCCCATCAGAGGACATGACTTACCTGTGCAGGGGATCGGAGCCGATGGGGTCTGTGTGTAGCAGGATCGGCGAGATCCAGTATAGAGTCCGATCATGCCAGTGCTGCTGCTCGCCTTGTGAACACCGAGTCCTCCCCCGGAAGTGAAAGCTGAGCTCAGCCCCGCACTCACATGCTGCAGATCGTGTGCACTGCAGTCACTACTGACACCGTGTGTACTGCTCGGGGCTGCTGATCACTCACCTAATAGAACAATGAAGCCATAATCCACCCATTGTAAAATAGTAATACATGCACCCATAATGAAAAATAGGAACATGTGCATGTATTAACTTTTTCCACTGGAGCCTGCAAAGCATTGCAACTACAATCAGTGGATCATGGGTGCAATGTTCAGACTCCTGGAGATGTATCACTGGGTGCAATGTGCAGGCTCCTGTAGATGGATCACTGGCTGCAATGCCCAGGCTCCTGGACATGGATCACTGGGTGCAATGCTCAAGCTCCTGCGGATGGATCACTGGGTGCTATGTGCAGGCTTCTGCAGAAGGATGGTGGGTGCAATGTGCAGGCTCCTGTTTATGGATCTTGGGTGCAATGCTCAGGCCCCTGTGGATAGATTGTGAGTGCAATGCACAGGCTCTTGTGGATGGATTGTGAGTGCAATGCGCAGGCTCTTGTGGATGGATTGTGAGTGCAATGCTCAGGCTCTTGTGGATGGATCCCAGGTGCAATGCATAGGCCCCTGCAAATGGATCCCAGGTGCAATGCATAGGCTCCTGTGCATGGATTGCAGGGGCAATCTACAGATTCAGGTAGATGAATCATTGGTGCAATGCATAGGCTCCTGTGCATGGATTGCAGGGGCAATCTACAGATTCAGGTAGATGAATCATGGGTGCAATGCTCAGGGTCCTGGAGATGCATCATAGGTGCAATGCGCAGGCTCCTGTAGATTGATCACAGGTTCAATGTTTGGCTCCAGCAGATGGATTGTGGGTGCAGTGTTCAGGCTCCCGCAGATGGATTGTGGGTGCAGTGTTCAGGCTCCCGCAGATGGATTGTGGGTGCAGTGTTCAGGCTCCCGCAGATGGATTGTGGGTGCAGTGTTCAGGCTCCCGCAGATGGATTGTGGGTGCAGTGCCCTGGCTCCTGGAGATGCATCATGGGTGTAATGCCCAAGCTCCTGTAGATTGATTGCAGATGCAATGCTCGGGCTCCTATGGATGGTTCATAAGTGCAATACACAAGCTCCTACGAGTTCATCATGGGTGCAATACACTGGCTTTTGTGGGTGCAATGCACAGGCTCCTATGGAAGGATCATGGGTGCAATGCTGAGGCTTCCGGTAGATGGATTGTGGGTGCAATGCTGAGGCTTCCGGTAGATGGATTGTGGGTGCAATGCTCAGGCTCCGGTAGATGGATTGTGGGTGCAATGCACAGGCTCCTGTGGATGGATCCTGGGTGCAATGCACAGGCTCCTGCGGATGGATCCTGGGTGCAATGCACAGGCTCCTGCGGATGAATCCTGGGTGCATTGCACAGGCTCCTGCAGACTCGGCTCCGGGTCCATAAATAGGTGTGGACCTTCAGTTATGGGGGCTGGAGGTAGTTATGAATGTACTGCAAGTGCAGTGATGTCACCATACTTGTCTTCCATTGAGATCTATGAGTCCCTCTGCTGAAATGGGGCTTCCAGCTTTCCATTTAGAGATCTGTAAATGATGACATAACTGTGCAGATGGGCGAACTGAAAAAAAAATATACAGAATGCTGTGGAGAGGAGAACCCCACAATTCAGGTAAAGATGGGGCATGTTACACCCTAAATATGGGTGTAACATGACACATGGACAGAAAGGTCGACTAAAGCCATTCACCAGTAGAACTGTTTGAAAAAATTAATTTTCAGAACGTTTGTATGATTTTTTATAATGGGTTGCTGTTAATGGGTTCAAATCCACTATTAAATTCATAGATATGACCACAGTGATAAAATAATCGCAGTAGCAGCATGGAAGATTTTTCTCGAATGAAAGATATTCCATTATGGTTTTCGTTCAGAAAACTCCATTCCAACGTTAAAATCAAATGACATTCGTCAAGTCTCTAATGACATTAATTTTTCGTATGAAAGTTTGTTAAAAAATCTACCAGTGTATAGCCAGCTTAAACCTATAAAGCTGAACTCATGCCAGTCCTTGTTTTAGTTTTAGATAGAATAGGGACTGGACCTGTGTCGGGTCTTTTGAGGCCCCCTTAAAGGAGAACTATGAGGTGAGTGCTTTTCACTCACCTCATAGTTCTAGCCGACCTGTGACAATGAGACTGTCACAGGTCGGCTAAGTAGATCGGGAGGTGAGCGAACACATATCGGCGTTCGCTCACCTCTCGATCCTGTCACAGGGAGCGCTGACTGGCGGAACGGATGGGGGAGGGGGCGGGTACAGCTGGCTCTGCCTCTAGGTAGGCAGAGCCAGCTGTCAGTCACGCAGCTGGGCTGATCCAGACATAATTGTCGGGATCCGCTTCAGCTGCGGCGTCTTAGTATACTGCGAGCAGCAGCTTGTAGTATACTGCGGCATCTCAGTATACCGCGAGCTACAGCTCACGGTATACTGAGCCTAGGGTGACGGGAGGACGCTAGTTTGTGTCCTCCCGTTACCCTAAGGAGAACTATGGGGAAAAGCCTTAACCCCATAGTTCTCCTTTAATGTCTTTGCGTTCTGGTGCGTTGCATTAAAATATGTCAAGCATTAGGCTCACACTTGGGACTCTGAATTCTTCATACTCTCTTGGTACATTTTTGATGCGTTTTCTTGTGACATCATCAGGTGTCATTTTCATTCAAACTTCCTGTTTCCTATGTCTGCTGTTTGTGTAGTTGTGCTGCAATCCTGTATTAAACTAATACCAGGAGCTTGCTCTGTGTGGTTTTGCATGAAAAGGGTAAAACATCCTGATCCTCACACACTTCTTGGGGTACTTGTATTGGTGGTGGGTGAGATCATGCAGCAATGGCCCTGCTCTGGCCAGGTGGATATAGGCTTCAACATCCATCATTCTGCGGCCTGGCCTCTCCCATCTCCTCTGCAGCCTGTGTAGAGTTGAAGTTGCAGGTGAGGAGCCCTGTTATGGCAAAAAAAAATGCTAGAAATTAGGGCTGTGGAAATTAAAGATTAATTCTCGATTGACTATTAAACTTTTTGATCGATTAAAATAATTTTGATCGCTAATGAAAACGCTCACCTCTCCGCCGCCTTCCGGGAGTCCCGTCGGCGATCTGGTGACGTCACGGACATCGACGTCACCGGACTCCTTCCCCAAGTGGCTCCGTCGGCTAACGAAGAGATGGGGGGAGGAGGCCGGTGATGTCGATGTCCGTGATGTCACCAGACTCCTCCCCCCTTTGTTAGCCGATGGAGCCACTTGGGCCGGTGAGTTTGCCCAAGAAACTTTCTGCACGAGCGCCAGCCAAGGCATTGGCCTATACACATACAGCACAGCAATGAAGTAATAAAATGAACTAGGATCACACTAATCCAGCACGTTATTATTCTCACGTGCCCCACTCAATATGGCCGCCACTTGAGTGGGGCAACTCAGAATAATAACGTGCTGGATTAGTGTGATCCTAGTTCATTTTATTACTTCATTGCTGTGCTGTATGTGTATATGCCAATGTAGTTGGATCTGTATGTGCGTTATAATTAAACGAAAATAATCGATTAATCGAACACGAAAATTGTAATCATTACCAGCCCTACTAGAAATGTATATACAGGTTTTGTAAAATGATTCCATGACTCTGTTGGGCGACCAAAGGGCCTAAGACTGCTTTTAGGTGCAGTGACACGCCATAGTATTCACCTTCCCTCCCCAAACAACTACATAAAAAGGTTATGTAGGAAGATGAAGTCAGGGGTGAGGAGCTTGGCCAGCGCAGACAGTAAATAGACACTCCCAGAAAGGGAAGAGGGCTATGAGGTGCAAGAAGGGAGAGAGCTGTGCTAGGGAATTGGCTCTTTCTGGAGCAGTAATATTTTCTAACATGTTCAAAGGCACTTTGGAATTAAATATTTATGGAAAGGAAAAATCCCGAAAATGTCAAAAACATTTATTTTTTTGTGCTTTTACCTGCAATTTTTTTGGGTTGGGTTAAATCAACCCGTCTTGTCAACACTCCAGAACAGAGCAGAAAACATGCATCAGCAATGTAGTACACCACATTGCATGGTAATGCAATACCATGCTTTGTGGCTGCAACACATGTGTATCAGGGTACCATTGAAAATGAATGGCAATGCACTAACACATGACTGGTGTGTTTAATGTGTGTTGTAGTAAGTGCTAATGTAGCAAGCCCCACCCTCTGCTTTCCAAATGGTGCATCACAGAAATTAAGAATAAACAAAACACTTTGGGAGAAAACCATAAAAAATGCTGTTCCCATGATTCTTACTGGCTCCTCTAGATGGAGGTGACCTTAGGGTTCTTTTTGTGGGATCATGGGAAAGTTCTAAATCTTGTACCTGTAGCTCCTGTATCCTGTAGCATCCTTTTGTAAGAATCGGGATCCTGAGCTTTCCCCAGATCCCTCTGTGAGGCCCAGTGATGTCAACGACCAGAAGTGGCTGGAACCCGGGAGTAAAGTTGTGCAGCTCACTGTTCAAACTCTGCATGCCTTGGGTGCCAGGTTGACTTAACTCACGTGTGGGAATTACATCACCCCGGGCCAGACAATTAAGATCAGCAGTGTTAAGGTGTCTACACCTATCGATTATCATTCGGAAATCGTCCACAAATGGTCTTTAAACGATGATCGATCTGTTGATGGGAACCCAACGATTGTAAATACTGTACTTCTGGCATGAATTTCTTCGATCGGTCAGGCTGGAAAACTTTTTTCAAATCGAAAGAAAAGCGATGGATTAGTGGCAAATGAAAAAAATTGCAACAAGAACACTGCACAAACGAAAATCTGTTATGTTGATCGTCAAAATTTGGTGAGTTAGTATTGCTAACAAACTATTTTCGGAATCGACATTGGACTATGCATGATGGGTTATTTGAGTGGAAATCGAACGAGGGTTCAATAACAGCACGGAAGAAATCGAAAGATAATCGCAGAGTCTATGGCCCCTCATTTAACCGGGAAGAGTGAAGCCTTCCAATTGCTAGATGAGAGCTAAATGTGCCATTATGAGAAATATGCTATGAAGGGCTTCACACCGCAGAGGGAGCCTAGAGATAAAACCGTCAGGACCCTAGACCTTATCACCTGTGCTTATGAGGAAAGGATATCCATGATTCTGCTATCCACGGAGAAAGCCATCGACTGGTAGTCCATGGACCTAACCCTTCAACATATCGGTTTTCTCTCCTCCGATGCAGACCTGGATTAGAGCACTTTATTTGTCTCCAGTGGCTTTGGTTACAGTTAATGGTGTCCCTTTACGTAGATTTAATATCTCAGATGGTACTCTCCTGGGCTGCCTACTCTCACCACTCATCTTCATCATTACTCTGGAACCTTTACTCTGAATGATCAAATCCTAGTATACATGGTCTGCCTCCTCATCATTACAGGACACAGTAGTGATATAGAGGTCTGTGGGAAAAACCATTCAGCTCTACAGGGGACACAGGAGATCAACACTTCCAGAAGTATTGGTTTGGAAGAACCTTTAGCCAAGGACTACTCTGCAGTTAGGTGGTGTGCCCAGAATAGTAAGTATTCTTGCCACATACACCATTTTGAAAGCAACTTTGATAGACATGTGCACCAGCAAAACATTTGTTTTGTTTTGTTTTGATTCGGATTTTGAGTTATTTCGTTTTTAGGGATTCGGGTCCAAAACTCAATTAGTTTTGGGATTCGGACGAAATTCGTTAGCGGTGTCCTGTACGAATTGTCATTTCGTTCGGTCACATGTAAAAAAAATAAATTTTTAAGTCACTTTGCTGCAGCAAAAATTCGTCAAAGTATTATGACACCTCGGCTCACAGACCCGAATGGCATTCGGGAGCTCGCGAATGCTGTGTTGTATTTGGCAGCTGAGAATGTCAAATGGGCGGAGTGAGCCGTGATGTCACGACTCTGCCCATCTATTTGCTTTTGCACTGAATGTGATTTTGCGGCGAGTTTTCGTCGGGTTCGGACAGTCATCGTGCGCTGAGACCTTTTTTATTTCGACGAGTCGGCGAGCATCTTGCATCGTGATTGACACTGGATTACATCGATAGAATCTTTTTTTTTTTTTTTAAATTAAAGGAATAGTCAAAAATTGATTCTCTTGTTTTTTTTATTTAATTAAAGGATTTTTTCTAAAAGTGTGGTTTGTTTATTTACTTTGACTTTTAACCCTTTAGTGAATGGGTAGTTTTTCCCTATTTGTGGGGGCTGGGGTTCACCCCTAAAAATTCCTACCAGATCTAAAGGGCCTGGTATGGATTTTGCGGGGAACCCCATGCACATATTTTTGTTTTAACTTTGGGGGGGGGGGTCCCTCCTAACATTCCTATAAAGGGTCTGGTATGAATTGGGGGAGAACCTCACTTTTTTTCTTCTTCTGCAGACTGTAAAAAAAAAAAAAAACAATTCTCAAATGTCACTTTGCTGCATTGAACGCGCGAAAACGAAAACTCCCGCTAACGAATTTCGGAATCGGAAATTTGGATTCATTTGCATTCGTTTTATCTGTAATTCGGAATTCGTATACATCCGAATCTAGGAATTTTCGAAATTTCGTCTGAATTTCAATTCGGAACAAAACGAATTGCACATGTCTAAACTTTGAGTAAGTGGCAATTGCTTGAAGATGTTTTAATGTAAGGTGAACTTTTTGCAGACTTAAGCAGGTTTTCTTCTGGAACTGCAGTCAAAGACCCTGCTATTAAAAAGAATCCTCATAACATGATACCACCACTACCACCAACAAGTTTCACAGTGGGGATGGTGTTCTTAGGGTGATGGGCAGTGTTGGCTTTCCAGTACATATAGCATTTTGTGCTCTGAGAAAAAAAATTCATCAGGCCAGAGGATCCTTTTTTTTTTTTACATACACTGAGTGGCCAGATTATTATGACCACCTGACGTTTGTAGGCAAATTAGCTATAATGTGGCGCTGAAGTTGCTAGAGGGCCAGACCATTATAGATAGGGAAGCAGGTTGTTTACCACGACAGTAGAAGTTATTTTTTTCTGAAGATATGGGTAAACAACGCGATTTAACAGCCTTTGATTGTGCGATGATTGTTGGCGCTCGGAGCCATAGAGCGAGTATCAGCAAAACAGCAGAATTTGTTAAATGTTCAAGAGCAGCTGTTGTTAAAAACTGTTTAAAGACTGGACTGTCAGCCGAAAATCTGGGTCTGAACGTGCAAATTGTGGCCGTCAGCAACTAGTAAATGTTAGGGCAGAACGGAGAGTGGCAAGACTGGTACAATACAACAGAAGGGCAACAGTGCAGTGTCAGATTCCTCGCATCACCTTTTCAACATCTGGTGGAGTCACGAGGCGGCCCAACAAAGCCATCTCGTGGAGTTATCTCGTGGCCCAACGAAGTACTGATGGGGTGGTCATAATAATCTGGCCACTCGTATGTTTAGCTGTCTCCCATATACCTTTTGGAAGCAGCCAAAGGGGTTTTTATACGGCTCTTTAATCCATTATATGGCATTATAGTTGTCGCATGAAAAATTCCTTCTATCCATGCATGTACGGCCTTCTTTAGGCAGAGGTGTGGTTGGATTGGATATAATGGTGTTCCAGGAGAGGTTAAGGATGCATCTTTAAAGGAACTGTCATGGTTTTGAGTGATTTTTTTTAATTCCTAATGTTTTATCAGTACTCCCCTTTTGTGTACTCCAGTGAGGTTGCTGGCATTTCTCATGGTGAGTTACCTTATAGTGACAAAAGTGCACCACATCTGTGTAATGTGTGTTGAACTGACCATTCCCTTGGAAGCCTGTGTTGACACCCTATAAAAGAACACGAAGGACCTTCGTGTCAAGACCACCAGGTATCTTTTTTTTTTTTTATGAAAGCTACAAATGTAAAAATATTTTTAAAACATTTCACTATGTGTTTGTGCTTAATAGTGTACTAAGTTGTCCTGGATCGGCAGCATGCTGGAGAGCTGGACTGCTGCTTTCACACAGAGTGCAATCCGGGTCTCCAGTGATCCAACAGGGCCCCTGCACGCCCGTCAACAACAGCTCAGAGAGCACGAGCATCTTTGATTAGAGTACTATGCAAGAGACGTGTTGAACAGCTTAGTAGGTTGTTATGCATGAATATGTAGGGGTTGATTTAAAAAGAATTTGCTGGGCTGTTTGCCCTGCTAATATCTGTGAAAGTACGTCCTATGCGTTTATATGTACAAATTAATGTTCTTTCGGGTTTTTTAGGGATGCACCGATATCGGTGCCGATACCGAGTATTTGGGCGAGTACTTGTACTCGCCCAAATGCTCCAATGCCTAGCCAGATACTTCCTGTATCAGGAAGTCAGGCAGCGCGTCATTACACGATGCCTGGCTTCCTGATTGGCCGGGAAGCCGGCTCCATGCTCCCTCGTCACTTGTGAGCATGAAGCCATTCAGGATGCCGGGCAGCGTGTGATGACGCAGGACCCTGCTTCCTGATTGGCTGGGAAGCCGGCTTAATGCTCCCTCGTCATCTCATGACGAGGGAGCATGGAGCCGGCTTCCCGGCCAATCATGAAGCAGGGCGCCACGTCATTACACGCCTGTTTTTTTTCCTTTACAAGTGTAATTATAGTCAAACGTTCTGGTTGTAGCATTGCATTATGGCCACTACATGGCAAGGAAATAAGTATTTATTTTCTATGCTCTTTTAGCATCATCTAGTTGACATAATGCGATATTACAATCAGAACATTCTAACTTAATTACACTCTTAAAGTAAAAAAACTAAAAACATTCATTTGTACATTTATACACACAGGACAAACTTTCACAGATATTTGCAGGATGAACAGCCAAGCAAATTCTTTAAAAAGTAAACTCCATATTAAACAGGAAAAAAATAAAATAATGCTCTATTCTTTACTTGTTATGCAGCCTGACTGTATAAAAAAAAAAAAGTTGAACTTCAATTGGGTTTAATAAATGACTTGCAAATAGGCTTTAAGATGACTATTTACATTAACACGTTAAAGCTTATACAGTATGAGGTTTTATTGATTAGGTTTTGCATCTACTTTAACTATGTTGTGCTTTGTGGAATTGTATTGAATCTGGCTGATAAAAAAAACAATGCTTCTCAGGAAAAGATTAAAATCTTAAACTATGGCCTGGTTTAGCCCACGCTTCTGACATGGTTACTATCACAAAGCTATCTACTGCAGTGTTTGTTGTAACACTACAATTATTCATGTGAAAATGAGTATCTGGCCAGATAGATACTATGAGTGGGTAGCCCTTGTTTCTTATACTATACCTCCCTCTAGTGGCCAAAAGGTGTTCCATAGGGCATTTCTTAGCTATGAGAACAGCAGACAATACTCGGGAGCACCTATACATAAAGGTGTCTTATTGGGTAATTAGTGTAGATCTAAGGTAAACGGGGATGACCTTCGGGTTTGTGAACTTTGCAAATAGCAAGCATCTGGACGAATCGTTTGCAGCTTCATCACCAGAAAAAAGGAACAGCTCATAATGCAGTGCATAGCCTTTACCCTGGTCAGCTGAGTTATAAGAGTCATTAGGTTGAAGGAATTGATAACCCAGCCCCCTTTTTTTATCAAAGTGTGGGCCTACAGGACCATATTGTCAGTTTGCGTTGGACTATTAGGGAGAATTTACATTTCTGCGTAAGGAGAGGGGTTTTTTTGGCATCGGTACATGTCCCCCATGACTACGCCAGGCTTCCCATGCCTTTTGTTTGAAAGTTGCACAGAATTGAATAACAAGATTTGCCCCTCATAGACTTTAATGGGGGCATACCCTGAGCACAACTGTCCATGACCTAAACCTAGGCAGATTATGAATACATGAATTCAATCTTGCATGATACCTATTTCTTATTGAAGATCCTTGATGGCACGTAGAGGTTACTGTACTGGAGTTACAAAGCTCTGCAATCACCTTATGCTAATCCTATACTTGTGCAGTAAGAGTAGGAACTTGGAGAAGGGAACATCAGTTCATACATGTACTCAAAAATATAAATTAGACAGTTGACTGAACATAGAAAACTTATGCAAAATCAATTTGATTAGATTGGCTGTGATATTAAGACTAGGAGCTTATACATGGCTGATGACTCTCTCCAACAGCATGTGACAGATCAAAGTGGACCTAGCATAACACGTGTGTGTGTGTATATATATATATATATATATATA